ATATAGATTTAATTAAAATAAAAAATGCATTATTTTCTTATCCATTTTCATTATTTTTAGATTCTAATAGGCGTGGCGAATGTATTGAGTTTTTAATGATTAAATGATATGTATTTTTCTGTCTGTTTGACATCACCTTTTAGAACTACTAAAATACCCTTATTTTAAATTTTTATGATGATTTCTATAGTATCAAATTGGATCTAGTTTGGGGCCGTGGAAATATTTCCAATGCTTTTCAAAATGCTTTCTAATTTAAATTTAATTTCTAAAAATTAGGAAAAATAAATATATTACTCAAAACCTATTTCGGTTTTTTGTCGTAGTTCTAACTGCAGTACACTTGGAATGTGATTGAATAAGATGTTTTTGTGATAATATTCATTATTTGGTAATCCTATAAYGAATGAGCTATACTTAATTTGTATAGTTGATCGTGTACTTTTTATTAGCWTAGCTACCTACTTCTATTCCTTTTTTTACGTATGTATCTAAAAATAAAATAATAATAATATTTTATTTTTATATTAGATTTTTTATGATATCATGTATTTGAATTAATTATAAATAAGTATAGATCAACAAAAATCATATTTTGTATTTTTGTCTTACTAATAATTCTGATTAATATTTATATATGTATTGCGACTAATAAATTTCGAATTCGTCAATATAACCTACGTAAATTAATTAAGTTATCTAGTCCTGATTTACTTAGAAATATTATAAATTATTAAAAAAAATTGTATATTTTCTATTAATTAATAGTCGAATTAAAACGAAAAAAGTTGTCAACGATGTATAATTAACTCCTGTGGAAAAATAAAATCTACAATGATTTGTGTTTTACAGTGAATAGCTATAATACCACAATAAATATCGTTATCTATTATTGTAAGTAGGTAGTTATAATGTGATTAAAACAAACCGAATCAATAGAATTTTGGAGAAAGATTTGGTTTTTTGTTAGTTGAAATTCGATTTCTTATATTATTATAWGTATACATTTGAAATATTCTGCACTGGCGCACTGCAGATGGATACCACCCACAGAAAAACAAAATTTGAAAATATGGTCTCGATRCTTCAGTAATATAATGACTGTATACAAACATCACGGAAGGTTGTACAGGTTGTACACGGTTCTTCATACAGTTTCGGTTCTCTATACTTGAGCAGAAACTCTGAGAAACTGCAGAATGTCAATAAGCTGTACGACAACAAAGCAGTATTTGTGAATCTTTAGACAAACGTTTTAGGAACACCGAAGTCAGCCATACAATTTGAATCCAATGGGGGATTAGGCATATGTCCAAGATAAGTATATATTCCAAAAAGATGACCATCGACAGCGGTACWAAGTATATTATATAGGCAAATTCAATTTGGTGGTCACATATGACATACAGTCCAACCAAACGGGTTCGATAAGGATCACATCGAAATTGGTATGAACGAAACCTWCYAAAATGTCTTTCAATCGTTCGTTTCCGTGAATAATATTGCAATAGAATCTCGCTATACCTGGACCTAACCACACAAGTCTTGATTGGATCGTTGAACACCTTCGTCATATCCGCCAAGTCTATCTCACGTTATTTTCGGTAAATAATGTCGATTTCTTGTATAGTTTTCACGGTTGACTTTTGTAACTGGTGTAAACACTGTGACATGATCGTCAACGATCATATAATACCGAGCTGAAAAAGTTCCRGTGGCTTTTGCCCACAATCGTTTCTACTGCTAAAATGTCTGAATTTTCCACTGGTTGCATCCGTGGTCCACAAAGTGTTGAAATTATTAAAAAATAGACAGCTAATATAACGCTCGAACAATGTAATCCATAATAATAAATATAAACTTCTCAGTTATTTAGATAACTACAGTATTAAAATTTTTTGTTGAAAAACATAAATAAATAAATGTATAAAATAATTAATATGTGATATTTAAATACTGATTTTCAACAAGTTAATTACATTTTTTTAATAAAACACTAAATTTATTATATAATAGATAAAATTAATATATTTTAGACACTTCTAACAAATTAACATATTATATTTGTATTGACTGTATGGGTATTAGAATATTACGTCATCTAAAGCCAAAGAGCAAATAATTTACAAGATTAAATATTTAACAGGAAATTATCATGTTTTCCTAAACATTAAACATACCTATTAAATCGATTTATCCCATTACTTATATTTGCTTACTATAACACTTAATAATAATTGCTTTATTGTTTTAACATTGTGGATATTGAATTCATAAAAGTATTTTATTAAATCTTATTCAAAATTAAATTTAAATTAATTTAGGTACTCACATTTGGAATGCTTCTCGGTGTTTTCAAATGTATTCCTCCAATTTGTATTACACTAGCAGGCATAGGTCTTGGTGCATCGGTAATATAATGTGTGTTCATGAATACTAACGACGGTTTCAGAGGTTCTACCAGATCATATGGTTGTGAATCAATTATTTTCAGTTCCATTTCTTTATACTTTAACATCAATAAACTAAAACCAAAAAGTACGAAATTTAAAAATCGTTGAGCAAATGTCTTAGGTATCGCATGATGAGCCATCAAGTGGGATACTGTTGCTGGATTTGAAACGTCTCCGAATACGGAATACTCCATGCTGGTGATCATTGGCGAGGGAATTATGTATATCACTGGCAAGCCCAGCTTGGAACCTATGTATGATGCACATTCTGATGCCAATACTTCAGTAATAATGATATCATAATTAATTGATTTTCCACCGTATAAGATTTCTCGCATATCCCGTTGTTCATAAGCAATATTGCAAAAGTTTCGAGTCATATTAATGAGTATTGATAACATCACAGATGGATTCTTAAATGTGCTAAACGCTACTTCAACGTCCATTGCGACCTTTGATGGTAGATCCAAATAGATTTCTGTATAGTTGGCCCGATTGCCGTCGGGGAATGGAGTAAATACGGAAACATTATGTCCAACGTCCGTTAAAGATCGGAGAACCGCRCTCATAAAATTCCAATGGCTTTTACCAGCAACATTTTCTATTGCAAGGATTTGCAATGCATCGATAGATGCATATGTCATCGAAACGGTAAGAATACAAAACAACGTGTTCATCGTTATGGCTACTTTGAAAAGACTAAACATTATAAAAGCTAAAATATAAACGTGTTTAAAATTATTATTTTTGATGTTGCGATGTATAATTTTTCCTTTTCAGCTCTTAAACTCGTTAATTAGATTAGTTGTGAAATTATATAGGAAATGAACATGCCATAAAATTTAGTCTTTCGAGGTTATCGCAAATTAATATTATCTTGGAGATAATGTTGGACGAAAATAGTTTTTTTTTAATTAAAGAATAAATGACATCATTTTACGTTGATTGTGCTCGATAATTCGGTTATTCACGAAGTTATAATCGACATTCGTAAGGTTAAACTGCTATTTCTGAAAATACTGCCTTGTATTCTATCAAATTCAGGCGTAACTGCAAAATAACGGATGTAAATTACTAAAAAATATTTTTTGGCGTATCCACCACAGCTGCTTATAATGTTTATTAATGGTTTACATTTTAGATTCTAAGCGGAGCAATGAATGTATTGATTTTACAATGATGTGTGTGTGTTTTTTTTTTTGTGTCTGTCATCACGTTTTGTGGCAGTAAAAGTGCTTCGATTTTTGACTTCAGTACCTCGTTCGATCAGAWAGTGAATCTCTTGTTGTTACTTTGAGGGATCAAAAGTAAGAAATTCTTAATATTTTTCTAAATAATCGGGATAAACCAACTAAAAATTAAGAGAAAAACGGGAAATTTTACGCACAATCAGTTTTCGAAAAAATCGATTTTGGTTTTTGATGTAACTTAAAAAAAATGACCATAGATAAATGAAATTTTCATCTAATGTTTATTTAAGTATATTCTATCCACCATGCAATTTTCAAAAA